CGGTCAAAGAATCGTGTGAAACAGGAAGCGAAAAGGGGCTCATCAGAGGGATTTTTTAATTTTGGCTGCGGCGGCTCTGCCAGACTTTACCGGTTGTTTCTGGCTCAATCATCACCCCTTTTGCTCTGATATGGCCATAGAGAGACTTAGAATCAAATTCCGAGTGGGTAGGGGAGAATTTTACTTTTTTGTGGTTGGCGGTGGCTCTAGTGCAGCGGTGATCGGCAGTCGGCCTTCTTCTCCGGCATCTGGTTCTTCTTCTTCGGTAGGGGCTTACGGCTATGGTTTGAGTTCCCCTGCGATGCGATGTTTATATACTCATCCCGCGTCGATCTGAACCGTCCATTCGCGTCGATGTGGAGCAAAAAGAGTTATCTGATCTTTGCTTGCTTAAGCTGATTGTATTGGTGAATCTGAGCCGTTTATCGCGATTAATTTTTCCGATCGTGCCTGATGAGGGAATGAATTTGAGCTATTCACGCGCACAGGATTAAACCTAGGCTGTCGAATCGCTGGACACGCGAATTGTCTATGTCTCCTCCCGTATGGCACCAATGTCAGCATGTTTGGACACGCGTCGTGCTCCAGTTCGTTAAGGTTGTTGACTGGGCTGTCCCACGTGGCTGAATTTTTTTTTTTTTATACTTTGACCCTCTGTTTCCAATCTTTCTTTAAAAAACACATTCCGAACTCAAATTTTCATCTTTTTTTTTCTAAAACTACTTTCAATTACGTCCCTAATCTATTTTTTCTCAAATAATTTAAAAATAATTTTTTATTTATTTTTACAAATGCCAAAATTGATCCCGGGCCAAATTTTAGACCTGAGTATTACAACTCTCTCCCCCTTAAGAAAAAATTTGCTATCAAATTTGTCACCCTCTCACTTAGTCAAATAGTTATGGATACTAGGCTCTGAAGTCCGATTCTATCTCTCATGTGGCCTCTTTCTGTGTGTGATTCTACCATAAGACTTTGACGAAGGGAATTTCTCTATTGCAAACTACTCTATTTTTTCGGTCTACAATGCCCACTGATACCTTCTCATAAGATAGATCTTTCTTAAGTGAATGAGACTCGTAGAACAAGATATATAAGGGGTACAAGTTGTACTTGCGTAGCATGGATACATGAAACACATTATGAAACTTGAATAACTCTAGAGGTAGTGTTAGTGTGTAGGCGGTCATACCAATCATGTCCAAGATCTCAAATGGCCCAATAAACTAGCGATTTAATTTTCTCCTTTTGTCAAACCTACTGATTCCTTGAAATTGGTGACCTTAAGGAACACTTGATCACCTTTCTTGAATTCCAAATCCCTCCTCTAGATGTCCGCATAACTCTTCTGTCTACTCTGAATTATCTAAATGTTCTTCCTGATCTTAACTATCTTGATTCTAGTCTCATTTATAAGATCTAGTCCGAACAATTTTCTATCACCCATATCTTCCCAACAAATTGGCACCTTTACAGGGGCAGCCATACAATGCCTCGTATGGGGTCATACCGATACTTGTTTGGTAGCTGTTATTATAGGTGAACTCTATTAAAGATAGATGATCATCTCAATGGCCACCGAAGTCTACAATACAAGCTCAGAGCATATCCTCCAGTGTGCGAGTCGTCCTCTCTGATTGTCCATCAGTTTGAGAGTGGAATACGGTACTAAGGGACAACTTCGTTCTCATGACTTGCTGAAAACTAGACCAAAGCTGATAAATGAATCTGGAGTCTCTATCGGATACCGCTATCACTAGAACTTCATGCAACCTGACTATCTCTCATATGTACACTCTTGCTAGTTTATCCAAATGATCGGTCATCTTGATAACCAAGAAGTGAGAGGACTTGATGAGCCGATCGACAATTACTTAGATAACATCATATTCTGAGTGTGCCTTAGACAACCCTGTCATAAAGTCCATTGTGATATGTTCTCATTGTCACTCCGAAATTGGTAATGGCTGAAGTAGCCCGCATAGGCGTAGATATTCTACCTCAACCTGTTGACATACCAGACACTTAGAGACAAAGTCGGCTATCTCTCTTTTCACCCACTCTACCAAAATCGAAATCGCATACTTTGATACATATTAGTATTTTCGGGATGCATGGCGAACTTTGAGTTATGAGCCTCTAATTGATGTCCATTTTTAGTTCACTGTCACCTGAAACACACATCATGTCCTAAAATCTAAGCAACTCATCGGTAGAAACTCGAAATTATGGATTTACTCCCTATTCTGCATCTTTCCTGAGAGTTGCTAGGGTGAAATCGATGGATTAAGCTTCCTTTATTCTCTGGATTAATTCGAGTTGGATAGTTTGGTGGGTCAAACATGAAAATCTCTTCAAGTCCTGAAGTCATATCTATTGTACACCCCCTATTACCCTACATTCAGAAACTATTAAGTGAGCCAACATACCTGCACTTTTTCTACTAAGCACGTCGGCTACCATATTGCTCTTGCCCAAGTGATACCAAATATTGTAATCGTAGTTCTTAAAAAGCTCTATATAACGTCTCTGACGCATATTGAGATCCTTCTGAGTGAATAGATGCTTCAAGCTCTTATGATCAATATAAATCTCAAAAATCTTCTCATACAAGTAGTGGCGCTAGGTCTTCAAGGCGTAGATAATAATGACAAGTTCTAAGTCATTGGTAGGGTAATTCTTCTCATGACTCTTCAACTGCCTAGACTCATAGGCTATGGCCTTCCCATGCTGCATCAAAACACAATTCAATCCCAAATAAGAGGTATCATTATACATTGTAAATCCACATGTCCCACTCGGTAAAGCCAACACGGGTGCAGTAGTCAACCACTTCTTTAGTTCCATAAAGCTCCTTTCACAATCTTCGTTCCATTTAAACTCAACGTTTTTCTTTGTGAGTTGGGTCAAAAGAACGGTTAAGCTAGAAATCCTTCCACAACCTGCAGTAATAACCTGTCATTCCCAGAAAGTTACGAATCTCCTTAACCGTGGTTAATTTTTCCCAACCAGGTACTACATTAACTTTTTGGGGTTCACTGATCCTTCATCCCTTGTTATGATATGTCATAAGAAGGTAGTCTACTCGAGACAGAACCACACTTACTCAATTTGCAAACAATTTTTCTCTCTAAAAACTATAAAATCTAAGTCAGGTGGCGAGCGTATCTCTCTTTACTCTTTAAATAGACCAAGATATCATCGTTAACATAATGACAAACTGATCTAAGAATTATCTGAAAACCTTATTCATCAAGTTCATAAAAATAGCTGGTGCATTGGTTATTCTAAATGGCATGACTAGGAACTCATAGTGTCCGTACCTGGTTCTGATGGTTGTTTTTGGAATATCTTATGCCCTGATCTTTACCTGATAGTAACCCGAATAAAAGTCTATTTTGGAGAAGACCTGAGCACCTTGAAACTGGTCAAAAAGATCATCAATCCTAGGGAGAGGGTACTTGTTCTTGATTGTGACCATGTTCAATCCTCTGTAGTCAATATATAATCATAACATCTCATCCTATTTCCTTACAAATGTGACTTCAGCATCCCAAAGAGACACTATATCAGATGAACCCACTTTTTTGCAATTCATTGATCTGTTTACTCAGCTCTTCCATCTCAACATGACTCATGCGGTAAGGGACAATCGAGATAGGCTGGTT